CTTGCCCACAAGCAGCCAGGTGGGTGGGTGGCAGAAGCTGCCACAACTGTACACTCCCAGGTCTGGGTGGTCCTGGGGGACCCAGAGTCCGGGTCTGCCAAGCAGCAACCAGGTCTCGGATCTTTGGCCAGTTCTCCAACAAAGGGACTGGCCAGTGGGGGCTCAAACAGAACATGTCCCTGGCTTAGATGCCTTCTTTCTTTTGCACTATCTGACTGAGTGTCCTCTCAGCCAATTGCATGTTCAACTGAAATAATTCTAGATAATTGCATTCATTAAAAAAAAGGCTTTGTCTTAAAACAAATACTTAGAAAGCAGTCTTGAGAAAGATGTAGGGAGCCAAGAGAGCCATCTTTATCATGAAGTCAAAGTCTTTCTTAATCATAAAGGCAAAACCAACTAGCTTAAAGAAAATCATGAACAAAGCCACTATAAACACTTTGGGTGTCGGAAAAAGAGCTAAGTTGAAATCAATCATCATAAGAATAATAAAGTAATTTCAAAAAGTTTTCTAAATACATTAGAAATTAACTATACCAAAGCCCTTCAACCTGTTACATAGTCTAACTTTGAAACGAATACATTTTAGAAGTGTATTAGAAGTTCCATAAACTTAAGTTTGTGGAAACTAGAACTTCCCAAGGTAAAGCTGAAAGCTTGGACTCAGGCTAAAAGAGGATGTTTCCAGTTTCGGCTGAACCCTCAACTTATTTTAGAAATGCAAATTACCCAGGTGTTGTTTTGCTCAGTCTGGACTTTCAGTTCCATGGGGCTGGGCAAAACATTTCAAAACTACCTCTTCAAACCACAGCTAGAAATTTACCTCGTGGCTTTATTTTTCCTCCCCAAAATAGCCTTGCCTTATGACCTGCTTCCTGCCAGCTGTAGCAGGTGTCCTGGTCCTAGTCAGCCATCTTTTAATTCCATCTCAGCTTTGCCCAATTCATTTAAAAACATTTTAAACTGAATTTGTTATTATTAAAAATCAGTTCTGAATAGGGTGTGACAGATCTGTGTCTCCATTCTTCAGCTGAACTTTCAGGAATGCCAATTCTAGACCAAAATGACTTCAATTTGAGTGACTAGAATTTTTGATACTTGGACATTTAAAAAAAATGAATACTTGAAAAATCTCTCACATTTTTAAGTCACAGTGTTCTAGCTATTTTTCTCAGGAGCCACATTAAGGATAGAAATAATACCTTCCAATATTCCATAAGCACCCTTCTTTCTTTCTTTTTCTTTTTTTTTTTTTGGAATGCTGGACTTCTGTAGGCGGCCCCCCTCCATACTCCTTTAGGTAGCGGCTGTCTTTCTGAGGTGAGTCCATTATTTCTCTCTAAGACAAAGGCTAGTTGCCTTCCTTGCTTGATTCACTCACTCAGACAGTTCTCGTCCCGACAACAAAGTTTCAAACAATTAAGTGCAGAACTTTCCTCGCAAATCTAAAGAACGTGCTCTACTCCACTCTTTGTGCCTGTGCAGGCTGCCACTGCACAAATGCTGATACCAACCTGGCCCTGAAGGACATTTCTTGACTCCAAAAACTGAACATCTCCCACCATAGTACAAACTATCCCTCCAGAAGTTGGTCTTTTTAGCATCTCATTCAAACGAGGCCCTCAAGTCCCTTGCCCTATCATCCAGGGTCTGTCTCCCCCAATACCATCAGACAAGTCCTTCCCTAATAGTTTTTCAAAGGTATGGAAATATCCTCAAGGCTCTGAGAGCCCTATCCCCAACTTTACCCCACCAGCCACCCATGTTCCCTCAGGGACAAATCTCCAGGACTAGTCTGCAATGCTCAGAAAACTCCATAGGCAAAGTTTAAAAATGAAGGTTCAGAGAGGTCATTCTTACCTGAGGAGACAGTGACTTGGGTCCCTTGACCCCAGTAGTCCATAGCATAGTAATCACAATGGTGAAATTTCCATAGATACTGCACAAAAAACCCCCGAGCCTGACTAGAGTCACCCCTGGGCAACTCAGGCACTATACTGACTCCTGGCACCCCGCAAGGACCAATTGTTCAAGTCCTTGTCCCAACACTCCATTCCTTGCCTGGGCAAAAGTCCATGGACCTCTCTTTAGTCTTCAAGGTGACCCATGTTCCAGCCTCACCTCTGAGAGACCAGACAGCCACTGACCCTGGGCTTTTCACCATTAACTGACAGCTCCTAACTCACACCAGAGTCTGAGGAATCCAGATGGGAGCCTGCCCCAGACTTCAAGCCTCGCTTTTGGCACACCCTTCATTATACCTCAGTCCCATCATCACCACAGATCAGGGGGTAGACAGCCCTGACCTAGACCCCTGTGTCTAAATTTTGGGGCAAATACATTGAATCTCAGTTCCCCTTTATAGGGCATCTTGGTCCTGAATGCTCAGAGTCTCCAAGTGCATCTAGAATGGGAGAAGGTAAGACTCACCTAAAGAGACGGTGACCAGAGTCCCCTGGCCCCAGTAGGTAAACCAGCTGTCACATTGTGACAACCATGCTAAGATCCCAAACAATAAATGGCCCTTGGCTGCACCCCAGTATCATCTCAGACAGAACCCAGTGAGGGACAAGAATAGTGGGGATAAGGGGACCCTAGCGGCAAGGGTGGCCAGGATCCCCATGGACCCCTGGCTGTAAAGTCTGGGAGCTGAGGGTGTCTGTCTGTGTCAGCCAGGGGCCATGAAGACCCTTTCCTGACTCCCAGGTTGTCCCTTGGTCCTTCATGACCCAAAACTGAGATACACTCATTTTACCCCACAAATACAGTAAAATCTGTCTGAGCTGAGTAGAAGAGAGGGGTTGGAAGGACTCACCTGAGGAGACGGTGACCATGGTTCCTTGGCCCCAGTAATCAAAGTAGTCACACTGTCTCAAGCCCCGTTAATGGATGTACAAAAACCCGTACCCTATCCATCCAGCCAAACAACATAAAAGTCTGTTTCCTATGGCTGTCACTGCCCTGCAGGGTGCAGCCTCCGGCCCCTGCCTCCTGTTCTGGGAACCCA